AGAATTACTCAGAAAGGGCGTTAATAGGGCTATCGAATGCGCTTTTCCGCGGCGCTGTAGCTCTATTGGTTCCCGAGTTATGCGTTGGCTTCTTGGAAATTTTCGACATTCGACTTGGAAATCGGCGAAATTTTGCCTTCAATGACCTCTGGTGACCTGACCTTTGACCTGACCAAAAAAATTGACTGAAGTGATTTCGTTATTATTTTTTTACGCTCTTTCGAACGCCGCCTTCCGCGTATCGCTACGTGACCCAGGAGCCGAGTTATAAGGGGGGGTTCAAACACCCCCCCCCCCCCCCAGCAGGGCGTGGAAATCCAGGACCCCAGCCGGGCGCGGGTTAAGCGACTGGTTGGCCTGTGGCTCTCCCGCGTGCCTTGCGCCGTGGCTCTCCCGTGCCAACGGGATTGGATCAGTTGCTGCTTGCGGCGCACCATTTGGTGGTCGGCATAGCTAAATTTCTCCCTCGCTTCCTCTCAACTCATTGCCCTGAAATGGTGTGAGGTGACGACCGGCCTATAGGCCAACAAAGAAAATTAGGTTAACAAATAGCGTTACTGCCACTGACCCCTAATTTTCGAAGTGTGTTTCGGACAATCAAAATACTTAGGCATTCTACAGAATGCCTGGGAGCTTAAGCCAGGCATTCTAGAATGCCTAAGCAGTCAGGGATTCTATAGAATACCTAGGGATTCTATAGAATGCCTGCCTGGTCGGTCCTGATTCCACACATTGCCTGTAACATAGGGTGACTGTTTCAAATTTTACGATTTTAAGGGATTTTTTTTAGCTTATATCGAATCCAGCATTCTTTGAGACAGTTGCGAAGTACGTATAGTTGTGGTGCCAATGCAACTTGTTACGAAGCTGTCCCTGGTGGTTTAGGTACACCTGCTATAAACAGGTGCAGAGGTGAATAAAACTCAAAAGCTGTCACCTACGTGATGTCTAGCTGTCGGCAATTTTTCACAAGTCATCTTGAAACAGAAGGTACCATTTTTTGCCGTTTTCTCATCACCTTTGAGGCCAAAAAGTAAATTTGAAAATGAGGCTAGAATGTTAGAAATAAACCGATCTTTCAAATTTCAGACTCTGGGCATCACAACGCATCACCATATTTCAATAGGTACACAACAAAAAATAAATCACTATCACTAAACTTACCTATAGGTCTGATCGACTTCCTATAGCTCGACCTGACTTCCTGATCCAGTTCAATCAGAACTCACGAAAGGATTGTCAGTTGTCACTGATTCACTTGTCTTTGCTTCAGTAGTCAAGACCAATTATCAACGCTCCTACCAAGTTTCTAGGACCGATGGTCATGGACCTCGCACCAGTTGTGGCCCAGATGTGACGTCCCCCGTCCCCAGTCGCCCGGTCCCTCCCTACTCCGTCGGCGGCCAAGGCCGCGTCGGTCCCCGCCTCCGCTCAACCGGCGACGAGCGGGGACGAGCTGTCGCGCTGTCGCCGTTTTTCCTGCGTTGTCTATGGCGCTTCACAACGCACCGGCTGTCGCACCGGCGGGATTTTTCAGCCCCAGCTGTCTACAAAGAGACGACGCTGTTAAATTTTTGTGCCGTGGTTCATAGTGGTCTTCTATGGGAAGACAGCTCTGATTGTAGCGAAAACGGCCTAGTTATCTACTTTAAATGCATCAACTGAGATGCTCGAATCTGTCTGTTTATTCCTATGGCTGTCACCTACGCACGCAGGCGAGTAGCAGGGTTTTTTCACCTCTGAACAGGTGGTGCGGGTGGGACGCCTACTACTTGACCCAAACTTACCAAACCCAGCCTGGCTTTATCCTCCCCCCCCCAGTTTTTTTTTTCGCGATAGCTCCGAACACGCAAGCAACAGAGAGCTGAAGCTAGGCATACCTGACCTTTGATTCAAGCCGGATCTTGTGACAACAACCCGATTTTCAGGTCAGGTCAGGTTACTGACCTACAACGTCATAAGTGGACGGTCCTCAGATGCCGCAACTTCGCAACACCCTCAGTCCCAGAGGAGCTTTTACAGGGGAATGAAACTTACAGTATGTGCATCTTCTAGAAGTCTCACAACTTGTACCTCTAGGATTTTTCCTAAACATCACAAGAGGTCAGGTCGGTTACGTGACCTCACCACTATAAGTCAATTGAGAAAAATGAAAATTGCTATTCTGGCGCCGGGAACGATCTCAAACTATCTCAAGCACACGGATCGTGATTTCATGCACTCCTTGCAAGGTTAGATGCTTCAATTTTGCATTGTTAACGTTGCATGACGTCATTTATGGCGTCACTAAGGTCATACGAGCTTTTCGTCAATAACTCCCGATCAAACTGAGCTAGCGAGACGGTTGAGCCACCGATGGACGCAGGAAGACCTGCCGAATCGAATAATCTGCATCACGACCTCCTTTGACCAATTTCGCGACCTAAGGGTCTCTGACCTGACCTTGACCCGAGATCAACACCTCAAGTTGACCTCACCCGAACAAAAAGCATACCATTCGATGCGCGTAAGCAAGGCGAGCACGTTGATGCTAAAATCGCGCTCTGCGACTGTTTTTTAAGAAGTTACAAGGCGGATCCAGGGGGGCCAACGGGGCCATGACCCCCCCAAGACGGTCAAAGGGGGGGCATACTATGTTTACCCCCCCCCCCCCCCCAAGACATCAGTCAAGAAAAAAATAAACATTCTCAAACTTCCTATGCTGAAAAACTGAAATATTGCTTTGATGATGCAGTGACCTTACCTTGGGGAAAACGTGAAAAAAACTCTGCCAACCAGAGTTTGGCAGCCTGATCCGCGCGCAATGAAGCGTTTCATTCGAAACAAAATACGAATCATGGGCAGATCATGGTACGATTAGATGTATCCAATGCATGAGATTACGTCACTAGCTCATGACGCCTGAGCAGCCAGAGCTGTGGAATAGGATGATGTTATCGGTCAAAACACTCTTGTTTCGAAAGTTGCGCTCACAAGTGGTAAAAAATGAACGACGTCATTGGTTTATTTTAACCCTCGCCCATGTAGGGGGGGGGTTGGTGCAACCCCCCCCTGAGGTTTTTCGGAAATAGTGCAAAAACGGCGGCGCGCAGCGCCGCCAAATTTTGGGTACCTTATGGGGCAAATCTTGCGCATCTTTTGATAAAAAAATTTTGACCGGGTCATGTCAGGTCACGGAGTTATGACGTCACAAAGGGAACAGCCTCCGGCTGGATTTTCACAAACTGAGTGCCAACGCCCGAGGTTTCCTGCCGGTGGTACGGACATCGGTTGATGGATCGTAATGAAACTTCCCATGCATGTTGGGGCAAGTATTGGCTATCATATGGTATAAGAAACTTGACCGGGTCAGGTCAGGTCACGGAGCTATGACGTCACAAGAGGAACAGCGTCCGGTACTATTTTTGAAAAGCGCCCGAACCACTATTTTGCTAATTCTTGTCACCTCAATGGGAATATGCAGCAATATTAGCTTCTATAGGGAGCAAATGGACATCCCAAATCCAAAAATACAATCAGATTTCAAAAATTTAAATTTTGATTTTTCGAATTTCTGCCGCCGACTGTGACCTTGCCGACTTCCGGCGCTCCCAACGCGCCATTTTTAGAGCTAGGGAAACGAAATACATACCAAACGATAGAGAATTGATCAAGGAACACGATAGTGAAGGTTTCAAGTCGATATCTCCCACCGTTTTGCCGCAATCGCCGCGGAAAATTTGAAAAAGTCTATTTTTCCGAAAATTTGACCTTTGACCGGTCAAAAGTAGGTCAAATGTTGACCTAGGACCAAAAAATATACCACCAATCGCGAGATCTCGGCGAGAGCAATCCGTTGGTCTTTTCCGCTAAGCTCTACAACGCTCCGTTTTCAAACGCCAAGGGGGGGGTCGCACCAACCCCCCCCCTGCATGGGCGAAGGTGGCAGATCGCCGTTTACGGGCGAGGGTTAACCCTCGCTGGCACAGGATTGATGCAGCCCCCCTAAGGTTTTTCGCAAATAACTCGCGTAAAAAGCGGCCGATCACGACGAACCTTTCAGTACCTTCGGGTTGATCAATTTTACACCTACCCCTAAAATTTCATGACCCTGACCCAAATGACCTTTGAACTGTGACCTATCTTTCGAGACAATGTTTGGCCGTAATAGCGATTTGGCGTATGTCATCCCGCATTAGCCGCGCGTTTGCCGTCTTTTCGTGGTTTCAAACGTTCAAACATGTGATATGATGTTGGTCCCATACACTAGGGTGGGTGTCAAGGACAGGTCAGGTCACTGACCTTTGATGACCTCGGTTCACTTTTTCGAGTTGTACATGTTTCTGGGCTAGTTTTTGGAGCGGAATTCGAATTTAGCAACCATTTGAACATTTACGAAATAGTTTTGGTGCCTTCGTAACATGTTACGTAGCTGTCAGAGGCAGCTGACTCACCGTGGTTAGTACGAAGTAACTGGACGGGCAGGCGAGCTAGTAATTGTGTTTTTCCTTTCTATTGTATACGGCCTCGACTGGCGGGTCCTTTGAGCCGCGCTATTAGAGTTCAGTGGTTACATACGAAGCAAATACCGCCGTCAGGAAAACAAATGTAAACAAAACATCTCAGGTAGTACCTTTTCTTGTTATTGCTTCTATACTTTATATATCGAGAATGGACGTCGGCTTAAGTTTGGCCCAAGCCGAGCTATTAATGATTGAATATGACGAGGAGTGCCGTCCGAAACGTCGGCACAAGGGTTGGGTCGCTGATGTGAACCGCCGCCGCTGAGCTCAGGGTGAATTTTTCAACCTCGTTCAAGAGCTGCGTACCAGCGATCCTGAATGGCACCGCACCTACATACTTCCGGATGGCCCGCAACACTTTCACTGCGGCCTTGACTTTCACCTTTGAGCTTCTTCTAAGCAAGATCGGGTCAAATATCACTATAAAACACACCAACTTCAGAGCCCATCGACGCCGCGCAGCTCCTGGCCGTTACGCTTCGGTACCTGGCGTCAGGAATGGAGTTTTCGGCTCTGGCTCCCACGTACCGCCTGGGAGAGAAGACGGTCCGCGCCATAGTTTACGACACGTGTGCCGCGATCATCGCCGCCGTCGGTCCGGAGGTGTTGGCCTCCCCTACTCGCCACACCTGGGAAAGGAGCGAGGCCCACTTCCGAGACCGGTGGAACTTCCCGAACTGTGTGGCCGCGCTGGACGGGAAGCATGTTGTCCTGCAGGCGCCAGCCAACACCGGAAGTGAGTACTACAACTATAAGCACACCTTCAGCACTGTTCTGGCCGCCGTGGACGGCGACTATCGATTCGTGTACGTGTCGGTGGGAAGAGCCGGCAGGGAATCGGACGGCGGCGTATTCCGCCGCAGCGACCTGACCGCCGCCCTCCGAGACGACTCTGCAGCTGCCGCCGCCCAAAGCCCTGCCTGGGACCAACGCTATCATGCCGCACGTCGTCATCGCCGACGAGGCGTTCCCGCTCACCACCGCTATCATGCGGCCGTATGACGTTAGACGTATCCCAGGCGTACAGAGGCAAGGCTTGAAGTCCGAGCCACGGTATTGAAGTACCGCCTCTCGCGGGCTCGTCGCATCGTGGAAAACACTTTCGGCATTCTCGCACAAACCTGGCGGATGTATCGTCGGCCAATGAACGTAAACGTCCAGCACGTCTGCAAGATCGTGCACGCCACGTGCATTTTGCACAACTTCCTCCACGCGGACGAAGTCGTCGCACTGCAGGGAAGGCTTGAACTCGACCAGCAAGATCGAGCCACCGCCCCGGCCCAAGGCCCTATATACGCGAGAGGGTCGTCCGGCGATTCTACCTGATCGTGACGTCATCTGGGGGCAAGTCTTACGTCCCGTTTGAGTCCCATGTAAATGGGCGATTTTTGAAGCACTGTAGAACTGCTAAAAAATAGCACAAAACTAGGTGCATCATCTGAAAGACGAGACATTTTTCTTCGAATTATCTGAGATCAGTTTTTCACTAAACCCATTAGTTTTTCCGAAAATGTGTAAAAAAAGCCCCCATGCCTCCGCAGTCTCCCTTCCGCCGGCCGCTGCGCCGCCGCGGTAGCAGGGCCTCGGCTAAGGAATTTTGACTGGTGGGCCACTTGGGCAGCGACATGGACTGACCTTCGTAGACATAGCCCCCCCCCTCCCATTTTCGATATCTCCCCAGATCTGGGGAGAAATCGCAGAATAAAGTGGAATTCGGCCACTTTATTCTGCAAAAAACGTGAGGATGGCATTTAAAAAAAGTAAAAAAAAAAACGGGGCTCGACCCCCTCCCTCCCCCCCGACTCTTCAGAGAGAGGAGAGAGTAGGGACCCACATCCCTCTCAGTGGTGATGCTCCCGCGGTGCACATAAAATCGCACAAGCATGCACAAAATATTGACGCAGATTATAAAACTTTGGACGATAACTTACGGCCAGTCAGATGTTAAAAATCAGCGAGCCCTGAGTGGATCGCTCGCCGACTAGTCGGAGATTCGGAAGCGCTCGGACGGGATCGGGCGTTGTCGGGTGGATCGGGAGGATTTGTGAACAGCACGAGTGCAACTTTAAATATATAAAGTGGGTTGTAGCAGGAACCCCAAAAGGAGGTTGTAGCAGCAACCCCAACATCTCTGAAAATGATCATAAGCCTATTAGTGTCGCATGGAAAACTGACTCAAAAGCCCAAGCGCACTGCGCAACCACAATATTTTCTAAATAAGTTATGTACACTTCTGATGAACAGTGTCCCAAACTTCAGATTTCTCTTGGGTGTCTGAGTGGAAAATTCTAGCCACCCAAAATGTGAGAGCGGAAAATTATCCATTATTATTCTTGAGAGTCATCTTCAGCCCAAATGAGAAAATTTTGGAACGCTGACTGTGAACGGTTCGAAATTCGTCCGACTGGTCAGATGTGTGAATGTAAGCATCATACCGGTCGTGAAGACGCATAATATCGCTTGCAGACTTCAATCGGCTGGAAGTCGCCGACACTACCTCTAGTTTGATGCATTAGGTATAGCTATTATGCATGACTCTGGCTTATATCGTGTCTATCGGCGAGCCGTCTGAGATCGCTCGCAGGCTTATTCCCGACCGTCTGAACTGGTCTGCTCTTTATTCGTAGTTTTTCTTGTAACCGACTGGTCTGCGGCAGATGCTTATGTGACTTTTTTACCCCAAGAGGATATTGCAAACAATAGGTTGAAGTTTTTCACAAGAATATGTTTCACCGATGGGTACTTTGCAGCCTGAAAATGTACCTACGATAAGATCTGCTAATTCAATTTGAAATGTGAAAAATGTGAAAACTTATATTTTCGGAAAATTACTGGTGGGCCAAATCTTTGAGGCTGGTGGGCCATTTCGGGTCACTGGTGGGCCATTTGGCCCACCAGTTAACATGTTAGCCGAGGCCCTGCGCGGTAGCGTAGTGGTTAGGATGCCTGCACCGTGATCCAAAGATCGTGCGTTCGAATCTAGGCGCGGGACGGAAGGCTTATATGAGTCAAAATGGCGGTGTAAGCCCAGCACCAGCCAACCAACCACATACACATCACAGTGCCCAATTCAACATTCACACGTAACGCAGACAGATATGGCCCTCGGCTCACAGCCCAGCCTCCATTTACCGCTGAACGAACGGCATCTAAAAGGTTCTTGAGATGATGTGCATTCTGAGCTGAAGGCAGAAAGAGAAAAAAACGGCAGCATTGATGCGTCTTCCTCCTATAGAAATTAAATTTGGCGGTGACATTACTCAGTTTGCACAATTATTCACAGTTTTGAGATGAAGATTGCGTCTAAGCTAGAAGACGACAGTGAAAAGCTGCATTATCTAGGAACAGAATTTAGTTAGTGCAGCAAACCGCTCACTATCGTTGCCAGTTGTATGTACAGGGTGTCCCAAAATTAATGTCCACTCTTCCACAACCTTTGTTTTGCCTTCTACTGCGCAATATCAATATAATTTCACCGGTACTGGCTCCCAGACCATATACGCTACATTCTAGCCACGAATTTACGCCTGGGAACAAGCTAGGTCGCGGCAGGAAGACTTCCGCCAGCCGGGTATGGCGCAGATCGTCATCGCGAAGTGCGGAGCTAAAGACGGGCTTATCCACAAGGAAACAGGCAAGGAGGCTTATTGCCAATAGTCATCCAGTCTTCAAATTGATAATCCATCGGTACCGGAGGATGTCTCTAAAGCTGAAGCCCAACAAGCCACGTTTCCAGCCGAAAACTTCTGCTGAACATGTCCAGGGCCATCTTTCAACATACGGTCTCGCTTTCAACAAGTCGGCGCCCCGGCACATCGAGATAGAACGACGAAGGACTGGTATAGATCGAACTTCCCAGCATTCTGGAAGAAGGACAAATGGCCGGTGAATAGCCCCACCTGTTGCCGATAGAAAATCTTTGGGCGACCGTCCTGTGTAAGAGGTGAGCAAAACGGCGCCAGGATAACCTGAACGCACGCTGACCAGGAACGTTCGATCTATCTGGTCCAAGATCAGTCCACAGAAGCTAGACATGTTGATGTCTGAGGCCCCGGACCGTATGCTTGCCTGCATCAGGGAGAAGGTGGGATGCATATGTAAGAAAAGCGCGCCTCTTATGTTTGTTATTTTCATGAAATTGTCGATGGAAAGGTGTGACATTATTTTTGGGACACCCTGTATATTGAGGACGGCTATGAGCAGGCAATGCTAATCCTACGCGAACGTTATGGTCAGCCGAGCACTATTGCAGCGGCGTTCATGGATAAAATTAATGACGAAGAACGAATGGACTTTGGAAATGGTGAAGATTTGGACAAATTTGCGCTTCTTCTGATGAGCTGTAAAAATGCATTGGGAAATGCATCCCATTTAATTAGGCTACGGAATATTACAGAAAAACTCCCTAGCTTACTTCGAAATAGATGGCGCAGGCGCGTCGATGATCTCGTAGAAACTCATGGGCGCTCCGCAGTTTTTGAAGACCTAGTCGAATTTGTGATGAAAGAGGCGAGAGTCGCTACAAACGCATCTTTTGGGCAGCACATGTACGATGGCACAAGGCCGTATAAGAGAGGTAGAATCATCCCGCGATTTCCAATGGACCGGTCGCTAAGCATTAGCGTGACGTCACTGGTGGAGACCGCGCGGCGCCCGGCTCCAAGCCGTACGTCTGGTATATTTGGCACTTTATCGTTGTTATTACTGAACGTAACGACAACTAATGACTCTTAATAACTTTTTTACCCACCTAAAGCTGATTTCCTTGCCGATGCATTGGCGACCCGAGCCCCAGGGCTGACAATCTTGGGATATGGGTCGGATGGGCGACCTCGCGACGGGAGAAGGAACGATTGCAATTGTCGTGGCCCGCACCGCCAATTGCATTCTCTATCTGCACCCGGAGGGGGGAGGGGGCACGTGCCCCCATCGGATCAGGGGGCCTCTCGGGCCCGAGGGGCCCTGCGACGCCAATTGGCGGCTGAGGGTCCACGCTGGCATTTTCGACTCAGAAGCAGGGCTGCGGAGTCGGAGTCGGAGTCGGAGTTGGAGTCGGTCGGAGTCGACAGTTCTGCTTGGAGTCGAAGTCGGAGTCGGAGTCGCCAAAATCTTACCGACTCCGACTCCGGAGTCGGAGTTAACGCTGCATGGCTCAACGTCAATTTGATTTGACGTTGTGCACCTGTTTAATTGACGATACTGCGCTAGAAATTAGATTTTGTCGAAAAAAGGCAATTTTGCCGTTTTGGACGAACGTTTTCAGCGAAAGCAGCAGAAGACGGTGAAGTCCCCAGAGCCTGCTTCTTAATTCTGCACGCTATTTTTAATGCATAATTGCAAGGCATAGCCTTGGAACGCACAAGAGATGGTTTCAGGCAAGATAAAAACATCTCCGTTATGAACTTCAATATCATGATATGGATTTTAATAGAACCGTCCGCCGTCCGGAGTCGGAGTCGGAGTTGGAGTCGGAGTCGGAGTCGATTTTTGAAGTCGGAGTCGGAGTCGGAGTCGGAGTCACCCTGAAATCCATCGACTCCGCAGCCCTGCTCAGAAGGGCCCCACAGGGTTCGAAAGAACACCTTATGTGCTCCGAATAGCCACACTTCTCTCCATAAAAGCCACACACCGGCTTTTTATTGTTCCTTGTCGGCATTTGAGGGCCCCTTGCCGGCCTCTCAGGGCCCATTGGCGACCTCTGAGGGCTACTTGCCGGCCTCTGAGGGCCCTTACCGGCCTATCAGGGACCAGCAGTTCGAAGGGTTCCACACACACCTGTGATGGCCCCTTAACCCAATGGTTGAAGGCCCCCACAA